GAGATATACCTAATGTAAATGACGAGTTAATGGGTGCAGCACACCAACATGGCACATGTGTACATATGTAACAAACCTGCATGTTGTGCACATGTACCCTAGAACTTAAACTATGTATATATATATATAAAAGAAATGGGAATGAAAGTTAAAATCTGTCAGTTTGAAATATGTGAAAGTAAATGATGAGCATATTAGCCAGAGGTAGGGAAAATACGCTGTCATAAAGGCTGATGAAAAACTGGGGTATAAATTTCTAGAGGGGACATTTGCAAAACATGTTAACAATATAAATGGGCTTACATTTCAATACAGATATTTCTCTTTCAAGAATTTTTCCTAAGAAGATAACAACACACATTCTAAAAAATATATGTTCAAGAATGTTTTTTGAATTTTGGTTTATAAAAGCAAAATGATGGAAACAATCCAAGTGCTGTAATCAATATAGGGATAGTAGCTATGAGTAGCGGAATGCTTAATATACCTCAGGGTATGATACCATGTTTTTTACTGAGAGAGTCAAATTTGACCTCAACGCAAACCCACGGGAAACTCAATATGTGATATCTTTGTATAGACAGGAAAAGGGAGACTCAGAGAGGTTAAGCAGGTGGTGGAGGTGGAGTGGACCCAGGGAATTTTCTCTTAATGGAATCATCTTTCATTGATTCCCTGTCCATCTGGTGGTGGATATGACTTTGTATCCCATGCCAGTTAACTCTTTCAATGTCCCTGAATGTTCTATGACAGGAGGTCATGAGATGCATTGCTTGGGAGAACATCAAGGGGAGTTCATCAAAGAAGTGTGAATTCCCTGCCTAACCACACTTACATTTCCTCATCCGGCATGTATTTCAAGACCTCTGATGAATCATGTGATCTACTAGACCATGAAGATACAGTGAAGAGCAAAAGTAGGATGCTGGCAATTTGATGTTTGCACTGTCATGAAGGAGATGCACATTTAGCAGAACTTACAAAGATAAATATAAAATTACTGCTGAGCTAAGTGTGGTGAAGAAAAGTTCATGGTATCATGAAAGTAGATAACCAGGAGATCTAACAGGTCCACTGCCACCATTAATACCTAATAGATATAATACCTAAATAGATATAATACCTAATCATACCTAAAAGAAATAGTAAGATATGGCATTTATAAATGATGAATAGGATTTTATAAAATTATATATAATCAGAGAACCAAAAAGAACTCTTGGAAATCAAAAAGTGATCATTTAAATAAGTATTTCAATAGATGACTTGGAAGAGTAAATTTGTACTACCACTAAATATTAAAAATGGAAAAGCAATGTCAAGAAAGACAGAAGAACTATACGAATACTAGGCTATCAAGGATTTCCAGCAACTGCAAATTCTAAAAGAATGGAAAGATAGAAATTATTTAAAATCAAAAAAATCTCTCCAAGTTTACAGACAAAAATTTTACTTGTAATGGCCCCAACCAAGTTCTTACTATAGTAGATGAAAACAGACCCATACCAAGACACATCACAATGAAATTTTAGAAGGTGGGTGGAAAAGAAGAAATCCTAAAAACATCAAAAGGCAGGAAAAACAACATTGGAAGCTAAAAAATGTTGATGGAATGTCATGGAAATTCCTAGGAAAAATGTTTTCAATATGGAATTCCATACCAAGTCCAGGTTGGAATAAGTGCTAGGGTAGACTAAAGACATTTTCAGAAGCTTAGGGTTTCAGATTTTACTTTCCATGTTCCCTTAGGATACTGCTAGATGAAATGAGAAACAAAAATGATGGAGAAAACCAAAAAAGGGGACACATGGGATCCAGGCAGTAGGAGAGCCAACACAAGAGAGAAGCAGAAGGATGCCCAGGATGAGGTGAAGAAGATCTTGGAAGTCAGCCCAGATGTGCATGCACCAGTCCACCGGTGGCGGGACTGAGGGAAGTGTCTTCACAAAGATGAGGTTGGTAGAACATGGGACATGGTTGAATATATTCATGGAGACTGTCTTAGTTCATTTATACTGCTATAACAGAATGCCATAGTCTGGGTCAGTTATGAAGAACAGAAATTTGTTTTCTCAGTTCTGAAGGCTGGGAATCCAAGATCAAGTCACCAGCATTTGGCAGGAGCCTTCTTGCTGGGTCTTCATATGGCAAGTGGGTCAAGGGC